GGATATTAAGGCTTTGGAGGAAATAAAAATGAACCGTTAAGCTGGCATTTCTCATCGTAAGTACGCTTCGGAATGTGTGCCACTAGCTTGGCGACTACTGAACACAACGCCATGAGTTATAGAAAAGGGGGGGGGGGTCTTTATTCGTCAAAAGAAGAACTTGGCAGAGATGATGACATATTTTAATCGCAAAAAAAACAATACCTGCAGATATTTCAAAAACGCCTTTGCTGTATCGCCTTAGAATCTGCGCGAGCGAACTTAAACCCTTCGCGGTGTTGCACGCTTTGGTTTGCCACTCTACGTGAATAATGTAACGGTGTGTGTGTGTGTATTTAAAAAAAGAAACACGTTTTAGCTCATTAATGAATTGTAACAGCAGGCATTAGAAAAGGGCTCGCCGGGCCGAGAGACCGGTGGTGGGGGGTTGTTTGACCATAATTCTTTTTAAAGAAGGGATCCACATGGTCTGTGCGGTGCCACCCAATCAGAAACAGCACTCGTGTGACTTTACACTTAGTATAGAATCGGATTTGCAATAGCTCTTAAGTGACACGGGGCGCTTTCCAGTTTTCACGGTTCGCATCGCTGAATCTTCCGTCCGTGAGCGAACGTCGGTATAAGACGTTCACGCTCCCACAGTTGTTCCACTGCCGGATGAGGGCCTCGCCACACCGTGTCCGGTCGTGGGGGTTGTTTGACCATACTTCGCCACTCCTGGTTAGTTTGGGTCAGTGAAGGCGGTGAGCATACACGCGTGAGCATAGTACAGTACAACTTTGGATTTTTGCTGTATTGCCCTCCGCTGCCCCGTTTAGTCGGCCTGAAGTGGCCTCTAACCCCTGTTATAGGTTGACTCAGCCTAAAACGAGAGTGCCTTGTGCAGTGTTGTCAACTTTGCCACCGAGGGGGACAAAGTCGGCACACGTAGTCCGTTCGTTGATAGCGGCCACACTTCACCACCGAAGTCGATCGTGGCTGGGAATCGAACTCGGACGCGCCCGGTTCAGAGTTTGCAGCGGGCATTCCGCTGTGCCACCGCTGCCACCCGTGGTTGGGTGGGTCGCCGGGTTCGCAGTTGCGGCGTGCAAAAACCCTCTTGAACGCCGGCGGCCCGCTCCGCCCGTCGGCACGTGAGAGAGAGACGACGTGGAACGTCGGTGCTTGCGACGTCGCGCGCACGATCGTCGCGACGGGGAACGCCGATGACCCCCCCCCCCCCCCCCCCCGACCCGCGTGGCTGTGGCAAAACAAAAACTGGAGAACGCCTTCACGTCTTTGCCACCGTTGTGAAAAACGACACGCGCACTCGCACACGCCGCAACGCACACGCGGCGGCAATTGTTGAATTTTGACACGATGTTTGCCATGCCCTGTATATAAGTGTACGTAATTTTTTTTTATAAGAATGCATCTTTGCCTAAATCGTGTTGTTGTCAATAACGCTTTTGTGTAATTGTTTTGCCGCACCGCGTGCTCTCTCGCCGAATCTCCCGTCGCGAGCGTCACCGTTTGAAATCCCCCCCCCCCCCATCAACCAGACTCGCGTGCGCGCGACGCTGGTTCACGCACATCCCGCGCGCGTCACGACAACGATAAGCACACCATCCCGCGCACACCGTCCCGCGCACACTCCCTGCTCGGCTTTTGCACGGTGTGTGTGTGGGTTTTTTTGGGAAGGGGCTGTGGGGGGGGGGCTCATTGAGACCTTTCCATTCCATCTCGTTCACCTCCGGCGGCCTAATACGAGAGCTGACGCTTGTTTCAATACACTCACATTGAGATGCAGGATCACACTGTCAATAAAAATGGTGAATAAACAAACTACCATGCTGTACACGTGGTGCGCGGTGCGTGTTTGTGGTGCACGGTGCGTGTCCGTGGTGTGCGTTCAGGGTGTGTGTCCGTGGTGCGCGGTTAGTATTTGTGGTGTGTGTCAGCGGTGCACGGTGCGTGTTCATTGCTTGTCTTGTGCCGCGTCGCCGAATTTTCCCTTCATGTTAGAGACGTGCCCGCAGAAGTGGATCCCACAGAGCTGCCACCGACATCCCTTCAAGCGACCTCTGTAGCATTCTTATTATTTGGTGGTGGTGATGGTGGTGATGGTGATGCTGCTGCGTTGGAAATGGTGCACAAGAACAATTTCCCGAAACGTCGCCTATTAATGCATTCATTCATATTGGTTTTTCTTCGGGCAGTGTTGATGACAGTGAGTTTTTACGTTGCATGCAGTAGGTGGCAGCACTTCCATTTCGCACGGCGGACAAAATTTGAATTTAAATTCTTCTGAGAGCTGGGAATCGAGCAATTTGAGTCATAACCAAATTTAATTAAATGCGGGGGGGGTGGGGGTGTGCGGTCATTGGGTGATTTATCTGAGACCATCATCAGCTTCCTACGCTTGAGGACTCGGATCAATCATGGGCGGCTGCCTGGATTGTAACCCAGGATCTTAGCCGTGCCAGTTCTAATCTCGGCCACCTCGACTTCTCTTAAGCGCGGATGGTCTCCGACATCCGCGAACTCTGTCCCAAGAACATGTTTTAAGTTTAGCCCCCATTAAACTGTGAGCAGCTAACTCCTTTAAACCGTGCAGGGTCCTCGGTATATATATACTAGCTTGTTGGCCCATCCTAGGACGGAAGCTGTAACATTAAAGATGTAAATTAACGTTTTATTGTGTGATTGTTAATTCTAGATTTGGAGCTTTCGTGACTGCAAGGATTCATACTCTTAGGTTTTTTCGGTAAAGTCACGTAGGTAAAAAAATAAAATTAAAATTAATAAAAGTAATAATAGAAATAAAATAATTTTATTTTATTTATATTATTACTTTTATTATTAAAATTAATAAAAGTAAGAATAGAAATAAAATAATTTTATTTTGTTTATGTTATTACTTTTATTAATTTTATTTTTTTACCTACGTAAAGTCACGTAGGTAAAAAAATAAAATTAATAAAAATAATAATAGAAAGAATAGAAATACAATTATTTTATTTATATTATTACTTTTATTAATTTTATTTTTTACCTACATAGTCACGTAGGTAAAAAAATAAAATTAAAATTAATAAAAGTAATAGAAATAAAATAATTGTATTTCTATTCTTTCTATTATTACTTTTTATTTTATCTTTTTACCTACGTGACTTTACCGAAAAAACCTAAGAGTATGATTGTTAATTGTATTAGGAAATGTAGCACATAAAGAACATTTTCTTAACTTATGAAATTAAATGAACGACTTTGGACGATTTCTCGGTATACGGTATTTTGTGTGAATCTCTTATCACTGTTCAAAGGGGTTCCCTGCAGTTGGCTATGCTTGACGAACACTTTAATCCGCTGAGGATATTTAAATCTCGACAGAGCCACGTACAACTGGCCAATGGGAAAATACGGGTCCATTGAGATAAATACCAAAACTTTCAAAAGTCTGACCCTGCGACTTGTTGATCGTCATCGCATACGCGGGAATTCTCAGAACTTGTCATCGTTTCAGTACGAAAGGAAGAGTGACATCACTCCATCTCCTCGGTGGCCCCCTCGAACCGATGACCCCTCAGGCGCACTCCAATTCCTTGGCTGTCACTTCGCGGCTATTCTTGAACCGTCGACGCCGGGACCTGCCCACATCCACTTTTGCTTCACGGGTTGAATGGTGTCTTCAACTTCCGTGCGATTCTCCGAACCGCGTGGTTTTATCTGTCTGCGTTTCAATGGAATTCCCACGCGCGTGCATCTCTCCGTGTTCCTTTGCACAATTTCGATTTCAAGCTTTCGTGACTGCAGGGATTCATCAGCCGTCCTCAGGTGAAGAACAGATCTGTCGGAAAGACAGCGTCTGAAGACACTGTCTGAAGACACTGTCTGAAGACACTTTCCGACAGACATGTTCTTCACCTGAGGACGGCTGCTTGCGTTGTGGCCGAAACGTCGTGAGAATTATTTTATTGTTTTATTTTTATTATTCTATTATTTCCCTTCTACGTGACTTTACCGAAAGAACCAAGAAGATGAATTCCTTTGCACAGTTTCCAGTTTTTTATCAGGCTTTTTTTTTGGTTTTGCGAATGAGCACGCTTGTGGGGGGCCGTGCGAGCGAAGAGAAACGTACCCTTTAGCACGTTTGGCTACGTATGGTGCAAACGAAGTTCTACTTACAGGGACTCCTCTACTTACAAACGAGTTAGGTTCCAGCGGTCTGTTCGTAAGTCGATTTGTTCGTAAGACCCGACTTTACTCCTGTCGATTCCATACATCTTCTTGGTTCTTTCGGTAAAGTCACGTAGAAGGGAAATAATAAAATAATAAAAATAAAACATAATAAAATATTATAATAATATAATATTATTTTATTATTTCCCTTCTACGTGACTTTACCGAAAGAACCAAGAAGATGAATCCCTGCAGTCACGAAAGCTTTAAATCGAGATTCCATACATGTTGTACGACATGTACACTAAAAACGGGAAATGGCTTTAAAAGTTGCATAATCTCATGTAGATGCCACCATCGCCGTCTATTGCGCGGCGGTTGCACTTTTCGACTCTCGGTCCGAACTGGACATACGGACAGATTTGTTCGTATCTCTGAAAGTTCGTAAGTCGAATGCTCGTAAGTAGAGGAGTCTCCGTACATACGTAGGTGTCTGTTTGTATTGGCCATTAACTTCCATAATGACACATACCGTATACTCCTGATTGTCAGACGCACTGCCCCCACCCTTTGCTGTACCTTAAAGTATGAGATGGGGGAGTACGTCGTAGAATACGGGAGGTGTGTGTGTTTGTGCCTGGACCTTGGGTAACTATTGACACCAGGAACAGGTTTGGTGTTGTGTCCAACGTTCCGGATTGCCTTCTAAACCAGAGAATAACGGCCATGCGGAGTTTTTTTGTTGTTGCAAAGCAGAGGATCTGAATGTGATGGAAGGAGTGTTGCAGCGTTGAGAAAAGCTAGTGCTGTACGCAGTTTTTTGGAAACAAATTTTATTTTTTTATTCACATTTCAATTGTTATATTGTTTAAGGGCGTCTCTTTGCGAATGGAGAATAACTGGAGTGCTTGAGTAAGCTTTGTAATTGTTAGTGGTCTGCGTA